ATTTTTATTTTGATCTATTTTGAATTGCGTGACACTGAAAACCAGCCATAACTTAACACCCTAACACCCTAGTACCTTAATACCCTAATACACTAATACCCTAATATCCAAGTACCCTAATAGTCTAACACCCTAAAACTTTAATACGCTAATAAGCTAATACCCTAATACCCTAACACCCTTACACCCTAATACCTCAACACCCAAACACCCTAGTACCCTAATTCCCTAACACCCTGAAACCCTAATACCCTAATACCCTAAAACCCTAACACCCTAACACCCTAATGAAATTTCCAGTGATGAATGGAAAAGCATTTTCTGTAATTTCATGACAAGAGGACAACCTTGCTAGGTATATCGAAATTTTCGGAAATGTCTTACCGGGAATTTCCGTTCTATTTGACTTTCCTCCTGGAATATCCGCAATTTTCGGTTGAATGTTTCACTTTTCTGAAATTCAACAATTTCTGAATTGTCTGGAAACTTTCCCAGGAAATTTCTGTAACATTTGTCCCCGTTTCGAAATTTACATGGAAAGCGCCCAATATGACACAGTTCTCTTAGTACAGTTAAAAATTTATTTACCAATAGCAGGTCTATGAGCCTTTGGAGGTGCTCGACTGCCGTGCCTTTCACAGTGAAGAACATAACCCTAAAAAATGCAATGTAATAATAAAGAAGAGATCAAACTGCTCGCAAGCCAACCATGACACTTAAGAGACGCAAACCTTATTATGGCATTTCGGTTGATAAAGTGGAAAATCAGGATATTGTCGGTCGAATAACCGCTTATGTAACAGACCACCCACATCACTGAACGTATCTTAACACAACGTCCTCTCGTAAAAATATCAATGTTAAAAACTTATGCACGTTAAAGTCAAAAATATAAAACCAAAACCCTCGCTTAAGATTCATAGATCTAAAAATTCATGCTAATCCTGGATTAGCTCAATCAGAGCCCTTCTCAATGTGAGGTTCAGTGGTATGCAAATTGCCAAACGAAGTACCGGTGTACAAGTAGTGTATTTATTCCGGAGGCATTATAAACTTGATGAACTCTGTAAAATTGTCAAGTTTCTCTTTCTTACCCCATCTGTGCCAACATAAATGTGATTAGGATCGTGAGGTAGAAATCTCATTATGAGCGCTTGTAAACTCATCTTGCTACGGAAATCCCTGAAAAACGTAATAATCTCGTTACTATTGTAGGGGCGGCGGACAAAACTATATTATTATTTCAATCCTATCTACGTTTGAACAACAACTTGGCTTGCTGTTACATGAAAGCTTGAGACTTTCAACTAACATCTGGAGCGTTGGCAGCCTTACCACCGCATGGAAAAACATCTGACAATCGGAATGTCGGTTACAAAATTATTTGACGTTTTACCGACACCACTGCTTTCTAAACACTTCTCAAACTCATAAATAATTCATCAACTTAAAACAAAGGCAATCAAAACCGCGAAGGAGCTTTGGATACCCGGTCTTAATAAGCAGAGATTTTGACGATTTTACTTCTCCGTTTACTCCTTAGTTTTTGTTTCAGCTGAGAAGATATATCAAGCACTCGAGACAGTGTTTCATAGGCTATCCAAACACCTTGAATTTCGTTAAAAATACTCCGCTGCGCGTCGTGTTTTCGACGTTCTCTTCTCGGTGTTTGAATATCCCGATGGAACACTGTCTCTCGTCTTGGTCGTATTACTTGAACCTGAAGGAATACTTACTCTTTTAGCTAAGCTAGTTATTTTCAACGTAACGTCCTGACTCTCGTGCAAACGAAAAGAACTGAAACTACGAAAACATCTGTAAAGCGTCACACTTCGATCAACTAGAGCCAAACTACAACAAACCTATACGGCGATTGAAGAGATATTGAAGAGCTTTTGATCAGCTTTATTTTTCCTCCAGGAGACAAACCTAAAATGAAACCAACCATTGAATAAGAAATCTTCTAAGTAAGTCGAGGGAGAGTTATGTTTTTTAAGCTCGTCTCATCAGTAGAAGCAAAACATCCACAGATCGATTGACTCTGCTCAGTTTGAGCCGTCACAAACGTTGTGACACCTTAACCTCGCGGGATGGGAAGGCCTGAGTACTAGGCTAAGCACCTTTTCCGAGACTTGAAAGAACCTACATGTTTCTGTCAGAGGAGTTGCACCGTGACGTCAGAATTACGTAAGAACGTTCGTAATATAAGCTACTGTATGTGGTACTTTTGATTTGGGCAATACGAATTTCCTCTCCAAAAGATTTTTGCTGTTGTTCTTGCTTCCAAGATAAATATTACCGACAGAGGAAAGGGAACATCACTACAACATGACCAGGAAGGTTTCCACTGACCAAGATCCGACTCTGAGCCTGCGGTGTTCGCTCTATCAAGCTCAACAACAACCTGAAGAGAGAAAAAGCGTTGATACATCAGTAAAGTTATTACAAATATCAAAAGAAAATTTAGAGAGCTTATGTAAAGGACGGCTAGCAAAACAAGAAAATGGATTACCCATAGATAAATTGCAGCATTTTCCTCTAAAGAAGCTAGTTGGAAAGATAAGCCTAGCATATCATCTGAAACAGAATGAAAC